ATGCTTTCCAGAGGCTGAGAAATGTGGGAAGAACCAGGCACTAAATAACCCAGTGCTCAGGATAGGGGACTGCAATCCCCAGTGTGGCAAGTCAGAGGGGCAGCCAAACACATCTCACCCAACGACCCTACAGGAAAAAAAGCTATGCTTTTTCCTCTCTTTCCACAAAGCACAGAGAACAAGAACATTTTGGCAAAGAGGGTCAAGCCCAAGCACTTTTGCAGCTGACCTCTGTGCTGGAGTGGTGCTGTCAGTGACACTGAACCAGTTTTCTGGCTATGCTATGTTTTGGTGTCACCCTCCCTGCCAGCAACCATTCAGGAATGTATCTTATCCATAAAGCTCTGCTGTTTACCCTAAGGAAAGGGCAACTGCACAGCTCACGTGCAGCAAGACATCAATCATCACCTGAGCCTGCATCTTCCCAAGCTCCAACAGCACTGCCCAAGGTGAATAATAATAAAATATCCTGTACCAGAGGCAATGCAAATACCCCTCCATGCATGACAGAATGACTTACTAGGATTTCTCCTGCAGGACAGGGAGCTGTTGGACTGTCTGGCAGACAGGACTTTTTATTTTTTAAATTATGTTGCTGTGCCAGGGAATGAGGAAGCAAGTCTAGGGTGTCACTGATGCCTTGAGAAGGCTGACCTAGAAGAGAGGCCAGACAGAGTTAAGAATGAAGTAGGTATTTATTGAAAGGCCTTAAAGGGTATACCTTGGGCAGTACAAGAGCCTGGCCAGGGCTACACCCAAGATTGACCTAAAAATGGTCACAAAATGGATGACTGCTCATGAGGTCTCACATTTTTATAAGTTCTGGTCCATCTGCATATCAGGGTTAATTGTCCAATCACAGCTTCATGTTATGAAGTCCCATCCTTTGTGTTTTCTCTCTTCAGTCCATCATTGTTTATGCTTTTGGGCCTGAAACTTGTGATAATTGTCCTTGGTATCAAGCTAGAAAATGAATTTAGGAATTGTAAAAGGGTCCACCTACTCTGTGAAGAGAGCTCACTAACACTTATTATGAAGCTCAAAACTACATACCTAGGCAACATAGAACATGAAAAATATGAAAGCCAAAACTTAAGGCATCATCACTCAGGGTAGATGTATTTCATCCCATCTTTGATACTACGCTGAACTGATGCTTCTCTCAGTCTCCATATGCTAGACTATTACAAAAAAAGAATACCCTGATTCCAGTTTAGTCCTGCAACCCTGGTTGACTGAGCTGTGCTCTTCTCACTGGCTCTTTTCTCTGTGCTCTTCATTCAACTGTGCTCTTCTCAAAATGTACAAGTTGTTTTCACCCTACAGACTTTGATAATTATTGGCTTCAATGGAAGGAAATATACTCCAAAACAGTAATTCCCAGGCTGAAATCAAGCTCTGTTATTTTCATGCCACTGCTAACTTGTCTGGAGCAGATTTATTAAAGCCATGGGTGAACCCCTGCCAGAAATTAAGGACATTGCTTGTGAATAAGCAACTTTGGTGTTTATTCCTCCTCCCTCCTCATCTGTTGAGCTGCACCAACTTGTCAGGCTAATTATTCACAGAGATTTTAAGCTGCATATTTTCTTTCAGGACTAATCTGACCCAGATATGGAAAAGGCATGGTTTTAATCAACCCTTCTATACATCCCATGATACTGGGTCACATGTGCATTGTAGGTATGTGCATCATGTGCATCACCCAGTAAAATAACCACACTGTACAACATTTAACAAGCTGGCTATCACATGCTGTTCAGTTTGCCCTCATTTTATAGGATTTTAGTACTGCTTCCAAACAAACAAGTTCTGCAATGAAACAAGGAAATACTCTGAATGACTACAGAGCGCTTTTTTCAGAGCTACAATTTTTTTTACAAAAGTAATGGACTGGCCATGACCTTCAAATAGTTTCACTGCAGCTAAAAAGGCAAGATTAAAAGCTATACACTGTCTCTAAACTGTTCAGTAAGATCTTGGGAAACAAAGTGAAATCAACCTTCCTTCCAGCATATGAAAAGTCATTTAAAAGGGACACACCACCAGAGCCCACACTTTGGTGCAGCCAGTGCTCTGAAGCAATTCAAGGTAATTTTTTCCTGCAAGTGACAGAGCTAGGCTCCAGGGAGGGCAGAGCCCTGCAAGAACTGCAGAATCACTTACCAGCATTGCACTGAGAAGCACAGGCTATGAGAGAAACAGCTGCTTCTTGTCCCTGGTGGCACCTGAGGTCAGGTGCTGCTCTCTCTGCAGTGACAGGGGTAGCTTTGCTCCCAGACTGTACATTTTCCTCTTCTTCATCCTCACACAGCGATATTTTCATTTTGGCTTTAGCTATGGGGATTGAAAGATGAAGTAGGAGTATCTTATTTTAAGAGAGGAATGTAGATGCTGGATGGGAAGCAGGACTTTTACAAAAAAAAAATTAACTGAATAAAACACTACCTGTTTAGCATACACTGACCCAGTTTGAGTGCAGGACTTGGGAATATAAGGCAAAGCTCCACCCAACTTAGGGAAGATTAAAAAAGCACCACATTTTCGCACCATAGCCTCTACTTCTAAATTGCATGGGATGTTCAGGTGAAAGGAATAAGAAGGATGTGTCTTTACAAACAAGCTGTGAGCCTGCTGGTAGATAAAGCCAGATCCTGATAGGTGAAAGAAGCAATGGGAGGGACCATAAATTCCAGAGGAATTCCACTAATTCCTCTAATTGACACAGACTGTCACCCAAGGCTGTGCTAAATTCCTGGACTTAAAGAAAAAGAAGAGAGATACAAAGAAAAGATGGGTCTGTATTAGGGGCTTTGGGAAGTCTGTGCCTCTCAAGTACCTCAGCCGATGGGGAAAGAGAGAGGGAAATGTGGCCAGGAAATTGGGATAAAAAGAAGGCTGCATCCTCCAGCAATCCCAGAGACCCCATGGGAAATGTCTCACGGCCTCTCCCTTTGTTCAAATAAAGTTCCAGCAATCCTCTGTCTCCTTTTTGGATATAAACCTCTGACATCATGGATTAATTCTCCTGACAGGGAATCTCAAACAGGGACCTAATTAGGCAAGATGTTAAATAAGAAACCTTGATTTCTTCCAAAGGCTTTGAGAGTGAGGACTGGAGGACAGTACTAAACATGATAACTCAGAAGTTTGGTTTTCTTGGCCTTTTGTGCAGCAGATTTTCCTTCTCACATTAACTGATACTCACCAAGTACTTAAACAAAGAGAGAAAAACATAATCCAAAGCCCAATAATTAAATAGGATTGACAATATGCTTCACAGGATTTGCTGATTCAATGGTGATGCTCACCTTGCTATACTGAGTGTGACAGGCACAGGCAGAGCTGATGGTGCTGGTAGCACATCTGGAAAACACAGGAACCAGGTGTGGATGAGAATGGAAGCACCAAGCTACAATATCCAATAGGCATCACAGTGATGTTTTCAAATGGGAGCAGCTATGTTGTTGTTTTTGACTCATTGTTTATGTAAATTAATAAAACTGGAGGAACAAAAACCATTACAAATTGAAGCAAAGTAACACCCCAAGTGGATGCCTTTGAAAACACTGTGCTGAGGGCTGCATGCTCCTACAGAAGAATGTGCTATATAGTGCATTTTTGAAAGCTTAATATAGGACCAGATCAAAAATGTGCACAAAAAGGGTAGAAAGGGATTTCCTGGGGAAGAAGCAAGAAAATAATGTGCAACTATGTTAAATTAATAAGACTATAATTTGAATAAAGTCACTTTAAAACATCAGTTTCAGAGTGGTCTAACTTTAGCAGCAGTTTTGGAGTAGTCTAGTTTGTCATAAAGCCTTCACAGATGTAGTAAAGCAGTAAGTACAGCTTTAGAGCAAAAGCATATTTCAGTGTGCTCCAGGCCACAAAACACATTTGTGAGAGATACTGCTCAAAGTTATTGAAATAATTGATATTGTGCCATCTGTATCTCATTGGTCCCTGGATGTCATTTGTACCAGCACAAGTGAGTCTGGGTGGTGCTGCAGAGGTTCAGTCACCAAAATCACTGTGATGGCGTAAAAGCAGCGTCAGAGTATGCAAAAGGCTCTTCAGTTAATCAAGGGATTGCAAAAACTGCCTCTTGCCTCTTCCAAGAAGCCTATCATGCCACCCTCATTTTTTATATGTTAATGAAAAATGCTTAATTCCTCTGGAAAAAATGCAATTTGGTGGCTTCCAATTAGGGAAATATTTTCACTGTAATATCATGACATGTGTGACTATTACAAATGCTGCTCACTTTTTTCTTATTGAGGTTTTAAACACAACTTAACAAATGGTTCCATTATTTACCAAGTCAGTAGAAATACTTGTTAAAAGTCACCATCCCTGGAGCTCTTCATGAAAAGACAGGACATGGAATTTAGTGCTCTGGTCTAGTTGACGTGGTGGAGATCAATCAACCCTTGGACTTGATGATCCTGCAGGTCTTTTCCAACCTAAATAATTCTGTGATCTGTGTGATTCTGAGAAAATACTGGGGATTTAATACCTGGAGGATTAATATCCTTCTGCCAGCTTTCAGAACTAATCTTTCCCCTAAATTATTCCTTTAATAATAAATAAAAATTTGAGTGTTGCAGGATGTTGTTCTTTTCCAACTTTCTTGGTATCCAGCCCAGTGGAAGACCTGTCCCAAGACTGCTGGTTATTAACTGAAATCTTAAAAACAGCATTACTGTAAGATTCACAAATACTTTGGTCCTACTTATCATCATATTTTCAAACCACCCAACAACTCAACACTATTTTCTTACTGAAAGGCAGCCCTAAAGACAGTACTGACACCTAGAACACAACAGTAATTTGTTCCTTGTAAGTAGAGCCGGTTCTTCTTTGCAGACTATGCCAAAGAGGATTGCTCTTTGATGTACCCCATTTTAATTTCTTTTAAGCACGGGAAAGCAGGAAAAACAAAGATAATTTCAAATATACTGGCGCCATCAGCAAAGAATTCTACTAAAACACAAAAATTAAGGTTTTTTTGGTTTTTATATTTTCAAGAGTAGTATTAGCAGTATGATGTTGGTTCAGAAGTCAGGTAAGGTCTGTGTTGGCGACTACAATTCTTTTATTGGACATATGTTATGTATTGAACATTTGTTTATGTAGGCACGGACTTAAGAATAACAACACAAAATCAAAAGGCTAAAACTGCAGCTGTACTGAGAAGCAGGCCTGGCAAGTCTGTCTACTCCTATAACTCAGCTGAGAAAAGGGGAAAAAAACTGCCATTATAAGAGAAGAAACATGTTATAAATTATGGTTACAGAACTAGACAATCTTTCCTTCAAGGTCCAAAGCACTGGAAAACCCGGGTTCCCTGTGTAAATGCACATTGTGTTTGTTGCAGGAAAGATTTAGACTCTGCCTTATACAAGTGGTTTATCTGTAAGAAAACTTAATAAAACTGTATTGATTCAAACAGTTCTCTTAACAAAAAAAAAATTATGTATTTCAGAATTATATTTCAAATATAAAAAATGATACACTTAAGCCCAAATAACAACCTACACAAAAGAGAGCAAGTTTCAGCAAACAGTGACCAAGAAAGAGTGAACAGGGAAAGCCAGTGTGAGTCATGACTTTAAGCACTGGTCTTTGCCAGATTTCATTCCTGCTTGCATCAGAATTTTCTCCCAAAGAAGATTCAGGGGATAAAAAGGTAGATAGACAAGGACATGTTCATTCTTCATCTCATAAGGGCAGTTTTCTACAGTTCTTAGTAACAGAAAAAAAAAAAAAAAAATATACATTTCCAGAACTTGCACATATCCAAAAAGAAAAAAAGTTGGAAAACGAGAGGGAGAATAAAAACTAATAAAAGCTAAAACATTATTTTGTAGTAAACAATAGAATATAACGTGCAATAGTGCAATTCCTCCTTTGCTGCTCCAACAATGAAGTCCTGGTAGACAGTCCCCCTGCATGTCAGCGTGCAGCAGCCCAGGTTTAACTGCGTGGCTGCTGGGCACTGCTGGGATTGCCAGGCTTGGGAGCCGAGTCGCTGTGTCCAGCCTCTCCCTTCCCCTTCCCAAGGTGGCGGAGTTTCTGATCCCAGCGCTGCAGATGGAAAGACAAAGAAATCACCAGAGAGATCACGGAACCACAAACAGCAGCAAGAGCAGAGAAACAAAACAAAAGTTTAACAGAAGTTGGTGTTTCCACCATGGCACCCTGCACCGGGCTCAAGGGCGCAGTGAGAGCTTATTGGGGAAAGTCATTTAAATTGTCATTGAAATCCCAGCTTTCTTGTAGCCTCTGTGGGTGAAGGGTCTGACACAAGGCATAATGGCTTCAGCACAAGGGGGACTCACCTCCGAAATAATGAAATTTAAATGAAGCTAATCATGCTAATGTCTTCGGGGGAAGCAGCATGAAAAAACAGCCAAGGGATTTTTGTTAATTTAAAAAAATTAACAAAGCGACCAAAGAAGTGTTTGAATACAGTCATAATTTATTTAGCTTTTAACTATTTTTAATAGTTATTCAGCAACTATTTTAATAGTTAATCAATTTAATATAGTTTTAATTATTTTAAATTTTAATTATTTAATTATTTTAATTATTTATGTAATTATTTATTTATTTATTTATTTGATTATTTGATTATTTTCATTTTAATTATTTAATTTTTAAATGAAGGTCGTTTGACTCTGGTTTTACAAATGTGTAATCGTAATATTTAATTTTTTTTAAAAAATATTACTATTTATTTATTTATCTGTTTTGCAGGCAACAGAAATCCCATTAAAAAAAACCCCCACATAATAAATATAGTTGGTACAACTATATTTATGTTGATATGACCATATTTATGCTGATGGATGTTCTTGGAAAGGAAGATGATGATGATGATGATTAGTGGTGGTGGTGACGTGGCAGTGTCCTCAACAACAGACAACAAGGAAGTAAGTGAGAGAGTAAGTGTGCTCCCCCAAAAAAATTCCAACAAATGATGTTACCACCCAAGAACTGAAACTGAGCAGAAGTCAGCCCATGGCAGCAATGTGATATTTTCTCTGTGGCACTGGATTTCCTAGGGTTCTGCCAAATCAAACAACAACCTGAAATAAGATCCCCGTACCTTCTCACTCCTGTAATCTCCACTGATGTGAGAAATGTGCACAGAAAATCTTGCTTTTATAAACACAACAGTATTCTCCTGCTAGTGACCCTCACACTGATGAAGAAAGAGCTGAGTGGAGGAGAAGACTGGTTTGCACAGGCTCAACCATTATGGCAAATGAATGGCTGAGAAACCGTGTCAAAATAAGAATATTCTGTATAAAGTGACACTCCTAATAATGTCAAAACCACTGATACTTTGCAGTGCATCAAAACATAAAGAAGTAATCCTTCCAGAACTTGGAAGGCATTAGGAAATATTTAAGTCAGAAAAAAAGAGATGTATTTTCATATAGAGAGCTGCGGTTGCTTAGCCTGGAGAAGGGTCCAGGGAGATCTCAGAGTACCTTCCAGTACCTAAAGGGGCTAAAAGAGAGATGGAGAAGGACTTTTCAACAACAGCATGTAATGACAGGACAAGGGGTAATGGCTTTAAAGTGACAAATTATGTTATATTATATTATATTATATTATATTATATTATATTATATTAATGAAATTCTTGTCTGTGAGGGTGGTGAGGCCCTGGCACAGGTTGTCCAGAGAAGCTGTGGAAGTGTCCAAGGCCAGGTTGGACAGGCTTGGAGCATCCTGGGATAGTGGAAGGTATCCCTGCCAATGGCAGGGGGTGGAACAAGATGGGCTTTAAGGTCTTCCAGCCCCAAACCATTCCATGATTCTATAATGCATGGCTTGCATTTGAGCTCATTGCAATGACATGACTTCCCCATCAGGTTCCTCCCTCAGCCAAGTCTGGAAGATTGATTTAAAATAGTTAATTTAATAGTTAATTTAAAATAATTAATTTTAAATAGTTGCTAATCCACAAAATTTGGTGAGAGCAGAACTCCATTTAAATAATATTAAATCTTGAAAGTATAACCTTGACTGATTCTGAAAAACATTTGTAAAGCCCCTGATCTGTTTGTTTTACCTTAATTCGTATCACCACCCCAACTAAACAGGCACGTGTTGTGGAACACACAGCTTGCCCACAGAGTTAAAAGACTCCTGCAATTTGCTTTTTTGAGACAGAGGTTTTGATTGCTGCTACACTGGGATACTTTGGAGTAATTTAATGTATCCCTTTAATTTACTCAGCATGCAGTTCTAAGTAATACAGCAAATAACACACCAAGTTAGTTTTTGACACATTACATTAATTAACAGGAGGCAGCATATGCATTTTCTTCCCATATTTTGAAAAGATAGGTAGATGCTTTATAGCACCCCCAACATTTGACTTCTGGTGAGGCATTTTCTTACCTTTATTTTTTTCCCAAGACGTTCCTTCCACTTCTCAGCTATGGAGCCTTCCACCAAGAGTAACCTACACAGCAGAGACAACCAGTTACTCCATCTGGAGGCTACACAACCCAACACACACAAGACTTAGCATCTCTGTGCCTGCAGAGAGCCTTGCCCTCCTCCCTGAACATCATGAAGGAGATGTCCAGACACCCACACCAAGTTTTCCTTCCTTTTGGCTCTGGCACTCAGCTTTATGACAGGGGAACAGCAGCACCAAGCGATGACACGTAAAGTTACCTGGAGCGCTCCTCGTCCTCGTAGCCCATGATGATGTACTCTTCCTTGGCACTGAGCGGTGGACACAGGCAGCCAGAATTGGTGTGAAGGTTTACAGTGTCCTTTGGAATGTTCACTAGGGAAGATTTCAGGATCTCCTTTACTTCCACTACTGCGGTGACGTCGTGGCATTTAGTCTTCACCTCCTTCACTTTAGCCCGAATGACTGGGGAAAAGTCACAAAGAGCATTGTCAGAAGCAGCAGATAACGCAGGTCACTCCTAAACTGTTCTTGGTGACCTCTGGGATTAGTCTTTTGCATGGTCCTTTATCAGAAGCTCAGCCCTGATAACTCCTGCAATGTCTCTGCCTCCATCTCTTCCCTTCATTACTTCACCCTCCACCCAGGAGCTCCAGGCAGCTCCGTATGTCTCTCAATAATATGGTCAGGAGCAGGAGTTACGTACCAGTTGGATTTACATCCTGTTAAAGCTGGGCTTTGACTTCCTTCCTTCCTTTCCTCTTCACCCTTTCCACATTAAATATATTAAATCTATTTCTTGTATGCTCTGCCTCTCCCTTGAGCTGTGACTGTTCCCTCTTTGACTACCTGCAGCACAGATGAGCAAACTTTATCACTCTCAACCTCACACAAAAAGTGAATGAGCATGAAAACTTCTCATATCGCTACTTCTGCTGGATGACAGGCCCTTACCTTTTCTTATTCTCTCCAGTGACCCAGCACTAATCTGCTCTGCTCTTTATGAACTCCAAATGCTCCTGATCTTGACCCAAAGATCTCTCTAATTGTTTCCTCTCTCACCCTTTCTTTTTGCCTTAAGTTGCACAGGAGGAAAGGTTGCCTTTCAAAGGCAAAGCTTTTCATTCTCTCATGGTGACCAGTGAACTGATACCACATGGAAATGCAAAGCCAACCCAGAGGTCATGCTCTAAAGAATGCCACATCATTCACAGCCTGCAAACAAGAGTCCCTTTCCACACTAAAAATAGGAGATACCCCAAATTCCAAATGTCTCCTATGTGAAAAAGGCAATATAAAAGAAAGAAAACCACTGACTTACACATCTCACTTCACATGCACTGCCCATAACAATCATTAACCAGCATGTATTCCAGGCACATTAAATAACATTGCCAACAAACACTAAATTGTGCATCTAGTACACACAATTTACCCCAAGTAATCCCCTCTCTCAAAACCTTTTAAGATCTCAAAATAAAATATTGCTTTAGTTTGGAGGTATTTCAAATGCCTTTTGAAAGCTATTTAATTTCAAAAGCTTGAGAAAATGGACAGGAGCATGCTCAATGACTCTGTCATATGCAGTTTCTGACTAGAGAATAGTCACTCCAATTTTTTTATAAACAAATCCACCAAAACACTGTAAAACTGACAAGTGACCAAAAAAGTGTTTTGAATACAGTTATAATTTTATAGCTTTTAACAGCAACTATTTTTAAAAGATTGTCTGACTCTGTTTTTATAAATGCGTAATTGTAATATTTACTATACAATTGCTACCATTTAAATAAAGCCTTAAAGTTCACTGAGCCTAAGGCTCTTTGCCTGATTAAAAATGGGAAAAAATGAAGTGTTGCATATAGGTAGAGCCTTATAAAATAAGGGCCTTGTTACCCATGTAAAACCATGGCTCAGGCCTACTACTTTGGCTAAGCAGAAAAGGGCTATGGGAAAGAGACTCAGCTGAATTAGAGGCAGAAAAACAAGTTATATAAACATTGTGTGCTCACATCGTGGTGTATGCTTGTTGGCTGGATTATGCTTGTTGTGATTTAAAACTGTGTAACTGGGAAAGGCCTAAATGCTCTAAAAGGCCTGGTTTTTGCAGTAAGGAAGGGCCCAATTGTTCAGTTCCTGTCATAGTATTCAGCGGCTTCATTGGCCTAATCGGCTTGAAACAAACAGCATGAAGGAACAGATGAGCCTGGAGCTGTGAAATGCCTGAAGATGAGGACATGTGCACTTTTACAGGTGTTGCTGACAGCATAACACAGCTGGCAAGATGCTCACAGCTGGCTTGAATACACCAGAAGGAAGAGAACCTGCTGGATCTCATGGAGAGCTAGTGGCCATGAAAGCGACTAAAAACATCCCCCTCTGCAAAAGCTGAGCATAATTGAAATCACAAAGGCAGTTCAGGCACAGCAGCCCACAATGTCATTTTTGTTGCATCACTCTTCACACTAGAGAAGTACATGAACCCCAAATGCCAGCACTAAAACTGAACTAACTCACCAAAATTACTCTTGTGCTAACATATTAAGCTTATCCCCTCCATCCTTTTAATTTGGAAATGTTTCAGACTACACCTTCCTCCTGCAACAAGTAATACTGGGTTACCATCAGTAACTGTGAACTTTTTAGGCTTTTTTTAATGAGAACTTTCCCCTTCCTGCAGCCTTAAAAAAAGCTGGGAGCTGGCCAAGCAGCTGCTCTTACCGTAGTTGTAGTTGTTGCGTAGATAAGTCTTCTGGGTAGCCTTTACAGGCTTGCACTTGCAGCGGTCTACAGAAACAGAAAGCTTTGTTTAGGTAGAAAAGGGCATGTATTCAGTGACAGTCTTCCCAAAACCTTCAGCTCACACCTAACAAAAATTTCACTGAATTGACTTGCTTACTGCAGTGAAATACTAAAAGCCACAGGGCATTCCTGGCCTGTTCTGCTGGGAGATGAGGAATTGTGCATGAGACATTAAATGTTTTTTAGGAGAAAACCTGATATACTGAAATTTAAAAAAAAAAAAAAAACAAACCCAAACCACAACACAACAACGAAGACAAACAGCACATGAGTCTGAAGCGACAGAATCATCATTTTAAGCCAATTCAAGGTTCAATCCTGGGCTCACAGGTGCTGTAATTCCATCCTTGCAATGCTGTTCTCTCTTCTGCACAAGACTTGAGGAATTCCCTCCTTTCTGTTCATTTTATAATACAGACCATAAGAGAGACACAGAAAGAAAATACTATGGTAGTGCCAGACTGAACACTTTTTTGAACCCTATGTAGCTCAGATTAGTTTAGCAAACTGGGATATTCTGGATAGCAAGCATTAATTGAATAGTTGCCATTGGAAGGGACCTTTAAAGGCCATCTAGTCTAACCCCCTTGCAAATAAGCAGGGACACCTTCAACTAGATCAGGTTGCTGAGAGGTCCATTGAATTCACCATTAGGAATTGTGTAAATTTTACACAATTGTATTATGACCCAGAAGCCCAGGTTTAATGAAAATAGAGAAATTCTCAGCCCTTGTGGCCAGAAGGATAGCCTCCAAAAAACAACACAAATGAGCACTGTCAGAGTAGCATTTCCAAAGGTGCAGATGCCAGACAGCTGGGAACTCTTAAGAGAGGTAAAAACATTTTCATTAGTGCCCAGGGAATGCTAACACTGAAGCTCCAGACCCACAGTGGTGTTCATAAACACCACTGGTGTTTCAGGGCTGGTTGTTCTACTGCAAATATTTACTTATTTTACACTAGTAACACTATTTTACACTAGTAAAATAGGCAGAGCAGCTTTGGTGGGGTAATTTCAAACAGCAGATCCCAGTATTACATGTGCATGGCCATCTATTTTGACATTTGATTTGACATAAATGGAAGAAAATTCAATGCATCTTATTTCTATACACCATCATTCTAAATCTCAATGCATATAAGCTGTTGATTTAGGTAAATCCAACATGAAGAGTCTGAAAAAGAACTTTTATTCACTATATAAGATTACAGCGTATTAAAAAAATTAAAAAAGAGATGCAATCATACGGTTACCAACTTCTCAAATCATTATTTATTTTCCATTGGAAGAATTTTTGTAGTTGAAAATACAAAAAAAAAAAAAACAAAACAGGAAAGAGGAAAACATTTCAAAAGAAAAGTGTATTATTTCCTTGAATTTCAAACACATCCTCAGGAATCTATATATAGAGTCCTACAGACTTTTCTATGTGCTCGTGTTAAAGTAACAAAAGCAGAGAAGGGAAGTGATTTTTGGCTTCCCTTCTGCCTTTGTGAGCTCATGGATACTGCAGGCCAAATTATAACTCCTTTTATAAGTTGCCTTGAAACAGAGCATAAAAGATGTGCTTTTATGACCCACACTCACACGGGCACCTCAGCACTCAAGTCCAGCAAGTTGTACCACTCTACAGTACTTTGCACTGTGTCCCAGGCAAAATAAAATAGACTAAATTGCAAGACAAGAACACAGTCTCACATTTCCTTCAGTTTCAAGGCAACACTGATTAATTTTAGAATATATTTTATTAGTCTAGTTCTATTTCTAAATTATAGACCTGCCCATGTTCTTATTGAAGAACCTCCTAGGCAGCCCAGGAAGTTCTTTTTAAAGTTACATTTAAAAGAGCTGTACAAAATGCTGCATTATTCCTAATTACTATTTAGAGATACAGAAACTAACACAAAACTCATTTGCCAGGGTCAGAGCCAGAACCAATTCATCTCTCCCAATTCCAGGTACAGTGATTTTCAAAGGAAGGCAAATGCTGACCTTCCCCCAGGGAGTGGGAACACCCAAAAAATGTGGCTATAAAAATGTACTGCATCAACTGATGCTGAGGGAAAATCCCATCCTACCTGACAGCTTCCTCAGAAGCTGCCAGAATTACCAGAAGAGCTCAGAGACCACAACAGTACGTCCCAAGCACAGAGACAAGCAGCAGAGGCTCCCACTGGCTTTGATTGAGATTAAATTTTCTTTTCAAGTAAATACAGGACTACCAACTGCTCAAAATCTCTCTTTGAAAACTTCACTCTGTAAATGCCAAAAGACATGGACTACACAGGAGAATGGTTTTCCCCATGGGTTGCTACCAAGAAACATGTGTGTCATCTTAAATATACGTGCATGCATGGTTGAAAACCTGGCTGACCTGTACAGGCAAAAACCTGGCAAACTCTTCCCAGATAAAGGATAAAAAAAAAAAACACTCTAGAAAATTTTCTAAGAGACTTTAGAAGCATGTGATCAAGCAGAAAACAATGTGGTTCACTGCCAACAGAGGTAAAATGGTCTCCCAAAAAAACCCCCAGGCAGACTCAGGGGGAAGGTTTTGCCAGCAGACACTGCCAGGGAATAAAATGTGTCTCCAACAGGGATAACCCATGAGTCCTGTTCCCTGTGACCATGCACAGCAGCACAAGCAGTAAGATGCAGAAATCACAAAGCTGAGAATAGGATTTAAAAAAAAATACACCAGTTTGCTACTTGCAAAACAAATGAACCAAAGGTCTCTATTTACAATGGCAAAACTGTAAATTCACTTTATTGAACATATAAATAAAGCCATTTTGAAACACGGCCTTTTTGGTGGTCCAACTGTGTTTGTCAGTTCAAACTGATGTAGCACACTGAACCAGAAATCATGTGTGTACAGTAAAAGGCAGTGATATCAGCAGATATTGCATCAGCAAGTTTTCTGTGCATCCTCACCCTATTTTCTAGGTGGGATTTTTTTTTTAGGTCTGGTTTTGCCTTCAGTCATTGAAAAGCATCACAACAGTAACAACATGACTGAAACTTTCCTCTTCCACTGCAGGGTCACTCACTGGAATTACATGCCTTCTGCATGCCTCTGCACAGGCAGCAGTAAAGATATGCTTCACATTTTGGATATATGACATTGAGAGCTTTGCTTTCATGCTGAAAGTGAAGCTTCTGTGCTCTTTGTACAGTCTGCATCGATCAGGAAATCCCTGCTTTCTCTGTGGGACACAATTGAAAAGGGCTTCAAACTATTAAGATACTAATGTTAGTAACAAATATCTTCAGCAAGTCTTCCAGACATGGTCCCATGCTCAAGACAATTTAAAGCAAAGCTTGTTAAAAGGCTTGTTTTTATGAGGTTTTTTTAACTGTACCTGGGTTTCTAGAGGGTTTGAACTGTGATTTAAAGAACATTTTGCACCAATACAGCTGCCTTCATATTGGGACCTACTGATCAAATTTTTAAACTGTGTTATAAACTGGGCATTACTAATACAATTTTGCAATTTGGTCACAGAGCTTAATGATGAAATTCTATGTATAGGTATCTAATGTTAGGTTCAACAACCATGCCCAGGTGTTTATAATGTTGGAGTGAACATCAGTGCACACTGTAGCTCACCAGCACCTCTGCAGAAGGAAAGAAAGGGTAATGCTAAGCTTCCAGGTCTCATATTCTTGACAAAGATGTAAGAGGAGAACTTTGGATCGAATCATAATAAAATTCAAGGAAATCTACAGTCACTGGCTTGCTTGAGCAAAATATTCACATTCCTACAATTATTAGCTACCATCCTAGGCTTTGCTTCTTTGCATTGGCAAGTAGTGGTAATCCTCAAGGGGTTTTATTCAGATTTATTCAGTTCCAGCAAAACCAAAACAGAAATAAAAAGCAACAGGGGACATGCTTGAATAAAATCAGCCTCAGAGGGTGCCACCCTCAACTTCCTCAGGCTAACAGGAGTATTGCCGTTATCTACAAAGAGTACTGAACTTAATTTGAAGACTTTAAGGTCAGAATGAACCATTATCTTCACTGGTTTTGGCCAGGGAAAAGTCAGTTTAATGATTATTAATGAACTCTCTGTTCAAGACAAAACTTCTAGTAAAACCAGCACGGCCCTCTTGCTTTGATGGACATTTTGAGGCTGACCAGCCCCAAATCCCACCTGCCCATGGAATGCAAAAGCACAATCTACAGTCTTCTCAGTCAAGAGTAAGTATTTAAGTAATTATCACTTAGTACCCCCCTTACTTAATTAAATATTTAAAGGATTTGAAAGTCTACAGCTTATGATACAGTTTTATAAAAATGTACTTACCGATGCCGGCGCCTCTACAGTTGCCATTATTAGAATCCATAGGGAAATCTGGCATGGATTTGTAAAACATGGAAAGAAATGTTAGTATTTTTAATATTGGATTATTTCACTACACCCACACGACAATGTTTTCCCTTTCTCTAATATTTAGCAGGTGGAAACTTAATAGCTTTACTAATAAACAGTTTGTAATTTTCATGGGGTCAGTCCAGTGAAGCTGACACAACGTCTTACCCAAATTTCACCTGAAACCAGCACATCATGTTAAATGCTGAAGCAGACTAAATATCCCATTTCCATTGCTACAGACTGGCAGGTTTCAGACAAGGGTTGACATTCATGCCATGAATTTTGATCACCTACAGAAAACACATGTAGTGTTTGCATTTAATTAGATGATGAAGGAGAAATTACTTTTGGGGATTTTTTTTGGTTACTGAGGAAATCAAATCAACCAACCATAATCATACTGTTGAAGTAAATGCCAAAATAAATGTTTCAGACCTTCCCACACACTGATTGCTCTGAAGGACAGATAAGGAACAGAGAAGTTTAAAAAGGCACTATGCCCAAAGAACTGCTTTCAGACACATTCATAAGTGGAGAGTGTCCCACATTAGTAAAATGTATCATTTCAAATCTATTTATTAAATCACACAATTTAATGGGTTTGTACATACATTTAATCATGAAAAAAAAAATATGTTAATGCATATAACCTTGAATGAGCTAAGGACAAAATAAATGCAATAGGAACAAGAACTGGGAGAGAGGCAGGATACTTTATTAGAATGGCACATAAAATGGAAAAACAAATAAGCTTTCAAAGAAAAAGCCCTTCTGTAATTTTGCACACTTAAGTCATTTATGCTGCTCTTCCAGTTCTAGAATCTGGCATCCCACAATCGACTTTCTTAGATTCTTAAATAATACTTCACTGCCTTTACAATGTAGAACCAATGTAACAAATGCTCCTCTCTTGCAGCCTGAGCTGTAAGAAAACCAGGACACTCATGATACTCAGTATTCGTGATGGCTTTAGATGTGTGGATTAAATGTTAAAGGCCAGGATCATTATTTAATCACAAATTCAATAAATACCTGTTTGCAAGAAAAATAATATTACTTCGCTAACCTTCTAATTTTGCCATCCTTGTTTAAAAAAAATTAAAATCTCCACTTAATGAATACTTATACTACTCACAGCAATATAAAACTTCATTTACATAAATGAGGATGCAGCTAAATCACAGTCAGGGCAAGAGTAAAACTGAAAAACAACGAATTCCCTCACATAACAATTACCTTAAAAAAAACTGAGACTTCAGGAATAATTATTCTAACCAATATAAAGAGCAAAGGGTATAGAAAATAGCATAGAAAGATTCAACAGATGCTCTTTTATATTCAGTATCCTACAGCTAATAATTCACCACATCCATTTTCTTGCAAAGAAAGTTTCAAACTACCACAGGATCTTTGTTTATAGGAAAAAAAATTATATTTTTATGAAGCCAATCTGATCTTTGCAATCAGGTACTTCCATAGAACCTCTGAATCTTCACCTTGCTGCCTTCTAACAAGCCAATCTATACAAGCTGATTCTTACTTACATGTTTGATTTTGATTATTCACCTGAGTTATTCTCAATGTATCAAGAACGCATTTTATATTGTATCAAATGCGTTCTGGTATTCCAGGATGTGATCAAAGTGGAATTGAAATGGCTTCCTTCTGCAAATGGTAAACAAAAGGGTGACCACACTTCTCATTCTTCCTCTCCTGGGCCAGTTATCTATTGTCTTGTTCATTCAGCCAAGCTGTAGCTTTAAATCTACAATTCCTTCTGATGTGGTAAAAGCATCTGCTCCACCTAGAGACAAGAGGTCTGCAAAATCCTCCAGCCACCAGCCACAGAGAGGTGGCCATACAGGCCTCTCTGTGTACCTAGGACTGGCCTAGGTACTTCAGCACTCTGGGCATCCAAAACCCCTGCAGAGAAAGCTCTACAGATCCACTGCTCCTCTCACTCAGTCACCAAAAACATTCTCAGGTTTCCTTGAAGGCTCTCTGCATATGACCAAGCCAACTCCTCTGGCTTTTCATGTGGCCCAGCAAGCTAAAATTCCTACCAAGACAGGCATTTCAGGGATAGTTTGTTGATACCTTCAAAGCACGTTCCCCATTCCATCAAAATTGTTACTGGGGACAGGAAAAAATCTTCATCACAGAGAAGGCAAGAGAAGTATCAGATTAAATGCTGACCATCTTCCACCCACAGAAGGAAAAAGAAGCCCTGAAGTGCACTGTCCCTACCGAAACCAAGGATGGATCCAAGCAGGCATGACTTCATGGTGCTTGAGCAAACCTAGTCCAATTCACATTGAAATCACAACTCAAAATAAACCAGAGCCCAATGAAGGGTCCACAGCCTTCCCTGGCCCGTGTGGAACATGATGCTCGTGGGTGTTGGCTGAGGAATTGTCCTTTGAGCTCACACCAACAGGAGGAGGACTGGTGAGCACTTGATATGGCCACTATAAACCTGGTCCTGCAAACAAGCACGGAGCTCACCTGCTGTATGCCAGATGTTCCCGTGCACTCTTAGTGCACAACTTCTTCTTAACCAAATTACAACACACCCCAGCCTCCACACATCCCCTAATTCTGCACTGCCAGGTCACCTGTCCTACCCCAAACCAGTAACACCCAATGTGTGTGCAGCCAGAGGAATTCAGACAGTGTGCAAAGCAGCCACTGATGGAAGTGCCTGCACAAAGGCAGCAGTGCAGCCTTGCCATGAGAGCATTGTGTCCACCAGTGAGCAAAGGAGGGGTGAACAGGCACTGATACATCAGCTTGTAGTTTATTTTCGGACTTGGGAGGGCTTGGGCCAGGCATGTATTGACCTTGCCTTGATGCTTATCCCTTCCAATGCACTCATGCCAGTTCAGGGATGACTGGTTTCTAAGATGGACAGGCTTATGGAGGGGACTGGAGACCTCTGCCACTGTATGACATCTCTCAGGAAAGTCCTCTCATTTCTCTGACCCTTTCCCCAGTGAAGCTCATACAGGCTGGTCCCTGCAGGGACAGGAGATTGGAAGAGGGTCCAGGCCAGGCCTGCCAGCAGCAGATCCTACATGTCACCTACAGACACCAGCTGTCAGATCTCAGGTGGCTGTGAGCACCCAGCCAGCCCCTGTCCCTAGCAGCCTGATGGACAGAGGCCTCTCCCAACCAGGAGATGTGCCCTGCTGAGACCTTCAGCTGTAACACAGACAGAAGGGGGGGAAAAAAATGCTATTTAAAGAGCCCCAAACAACTGACTTCCTATTGTTCCACTTCTCTGCACGGGCAAACCCTCTGCCAAGTTCTGTCTATGCAAAGCAATCCTTCTGAAATAAATACCTGTCAGTGATGGTTAGCAGGATTGCCAAAGAGGGGGATACTATCCAGAGGTCAAATCCAAAAGTTTCCTATTAAATTTTATTTAGGAGCAGGGGACAAAATCCAAACTGTTTTTTCCAAGATGCCATCTTAACTAATTGTTTTTCAGAGGGATTTTATATAATACAAAACAAGAGCTAAATAAAAGCCACTTACACAGTAAGTGTGCAAAATAACTTTTATTTTTTTACACAGTAAGTGTGTAAAATCCAGGGGACTCAGCCTACAAAGGCAGCTGAACAGCAGTGAGAGTGCCTAACACCACTGGTGTTATCTTCATTACTAAAATTTAAATTCTCTTATTTACCTCTCCTGTCCTGTTTCAGGCTTGAAGCTTGTAATCATTGTGCTATTTAACTGAGAAATGAGGCTGCTCCCAAGTTTTGAGCAAAGACCTAAACAAATCCCAACTTTATAAACAATAATATGGGCATGACTGCTTGTCCTTAGCACAGCCTGTAACACTCCCCCAGCACCACTGTGCACGTCAAACTGCTCTAAGTAGAGCTAGGAAAAGACTGAGTCAGAAAACATATTTGATCTGGAACTTGGAAGCCACTGTTTTGGAAATTAAGTTAATACTATATAAGAAACAAGCATGAGAAATGGCTTGTTCACTTGTCTTTTAAGCCTGCAGTGCCAAATTAACATACTGGGTTACTATGAACTCATCCAGACAGACATGGAGGACTTGGGCAGCATGGAGGAATCATGGCTTAACATATGATTTAAGAAAAGAGGTGTCCCTCATGTGAATAATCTGTAATTTTCTTTAATGTTTAAGAGATGGTGTTTTTAAAAAAAAAAAATTCAAAGTTCTCTTTAGACATCTTACAATAGTTTGGGTGTTAACTACACATGGTTGATACCTTGTGATGTGGCTTCCCTTTTCCACAACATCTTTATTAACAGGCCAACATGCCTTGAAGCTATATTCTTATCTAAATAAGATATGGTGAGAGAACCTGCCTGACAGATCTGTCTTCCAATACGCAGAGTACACATCACACTGCTCTGTTGCTAGTTCCCTCTTCAAAACAGGAATAAACATTTCACTTGAGACATAAACACTCTGCTAGGCAGTAGCAGCCACAGCACACATGTCAAATTTTTAGTCAGCATCCCAATGCCAACACTGGCCACTTATTACCTGCTAAACTAAAGACAGGTCCTGCCTCTGAAATTCTAGATTTGAGACAATTTTGTCCCTCAGCAGTCCCTGCTGCTTCACAGACCTAAGAAGGTTTGACAGGGGCCTGAATGAGGGAAGCAGATAATCTGATAGATTGGAGGAAGAATAAGCACATGCATGTGAAGACTGAAATATATGGAGCAGGTGAACAGGACCTCACAGAGATGTAAGACAGATGCCATAGGAAACTTCAGACATTAGCATGCACTAATCTGAAATATGGGGTGTTAATGTATTGTCAAGATGCTCTTTCATTCTCCATCCTGGATGATGATTTGTTGGATCCTCCACAAAAAGCCAAAATATTCAGCATCACACTTGCCTCTACAACACCCACACTATGCCTGCAGCATCCCTCTGCTTTCTGGCTGTTAAAGGAACCCGGATGTTTCCCAAAGAGAATAAAAAATCGAGAAACCTACACTTCCCACATGACACTTGTTTTAAGCTGGTCTCTGTAAGGTGAGGAAGTTAAGACCTCCCAATCAGCACTCCCACTCAGGTTTTGGAGAGCAGCACAAGCCCAGGGGGTGTGCACAGCTATTCCTCTAACTGAGCCCAAAAACACAGCACTGTTGTCAGCTTTCTCCATCACAGAGAGAGCAGCAGCTGCTTCACCCCTTCACCCCACACCTTCACCATGCCAGCAGCCCCTTGGTCCTGCCTTGGCAGGAGGTGTCTACACCTTTCTCACCACCTGGGCTCAAATGGAAAGATGTCCTACAAGACATCTGTGGTGTGCCTCAACAGCTGAAAGTGAACTTCTTACTGAGATTTATCACAGATTTTACCAACCACAGTTCCTCCGTATTTTGCAACAGCCACAGGCTACTGGGATGCAGGGAATATAACTGATGGAAACTGGGCTTGTGAACCCAGTCCCTGCTCTGACAAGGGCAAACACTGACTGCATCATCCCTAAGGCTGCTCCCTTTTATGGAAGGGACAAGACAAATGTTCTAATGTCCATCAGCAATAATGCAGAAACCTCAAGAATAAAGGAAACAGCAGAACCCTGTTACAGGTAGCAGAAGAATGAAAGTAAAAGCAAGTTTTCACTTCTGAAGAATAGAAAAAGCCCCTTCTACAACAGAAAGCCATGAAACAATGAATTATATTTCTGCTTGTTCTATTAGATGTAGTTTACAGACAGCAGAAGGCAAATAAGAGCAGGTATTCTGCACGCTACTCATCAGGCAGCTGGTTATTCATGTCTTCTACTGAGCTGCAATCCTTTATTTGGAGAATTGGATTTGAAAGTGTTCACCTTACCTCTTCCTAGAACAGGAATCCTTCCCCCTGCTTTCTAAAAGAACAGTTTTATTCCCTCAAGAAGGATTCTTTCAGTCTGGTGCATAATGCATCAGTTCAAAATATTCAGCCCAGAAATGAGAATGTCATCAGGTTCTCATTCACTGAAAGAGAGTTTTCATGGATCTGGCCCTGGAATCCCTCAAAGAGGTTATTGTACTGCTGAGGTCCTCAGAAATAGGTAACTCGGGGGCGATTTCAGCCAAGCTTCCTCCCTCCAGACTTGAATGTGATTGCTTTCAAATTGCTGCAGACCTGCCAAACCCAGCTCATGCTGGAGCCATTTTTAAGGTGGTTTTGAAAGCACCTCAATGCTGCAGAGAAAGGTGCTTGGTGTTCAAAACCCCATCTCCCCAAAACTACCCCAGCAGGACTGCAGCCCTCAGAGAGCAGCAGCTGATGGCAAAAATAGATGGTTGCATTCATGGGCTGGGGAAAAAAAGCAGGAAAAGGCAAGAGGGAAGCAGTTAGAAGTTGGAAATAGCATTAATGAGTGGAGATACAAGGGCATGGAGGTTTCAAGAGGTCCAGAGGATAATAGAGTCAGAGATGGAATAGTGTTTGTCTGGCCTGTAAATAAATGGAGATGGAGAGAGCAGCTTACCTGGGAAGGTTGAGCTGGGGAGCACGGTCAGGAAACCGAAGCGTGATATTTTGTTAGGAGAAGAAAACAGGAATTACAGTGTTTGGCATTACTGGCAGTGGGAGACATAAAGCATTTGGTAGTGGGACAGAAGCACAGTAAAATACTGTGCTGAGCACAGCACGAAAAATCCCCCTTTCATTCCCAGGCCACTGCTGGGGGAGGACAGAGAGGTGATATCCACTGCTCCCAGCACTGCAGCTGTGGGCACTGAGGGAAACAGAGAGGAGCACAACAAGCTTATGGGGTGCATGGGGGCTGCTCTGCTCTGACCCCTCTGGTCTGCTCTCCCACCTCAGCACTGCTCTCCTGATGGAGATGTCTGGCAGAGCCACCAGCACTGCAACTTTGCATCAAACAGAATGGTAGCCTGGTTCCACCAGCAGCAAATGCTTTCCTGAAAATATACAGGAACTGCAGTCACTTTGTAAAAGGTTAGAGCTCACTCATGATAGCCACCCACTAGCTCGCTCTAATTTCCTGTTCCTCGCATTCAATATCTCTGTGGTGCTCAGCTCACCACACTGGAGCGGTGTCCTGCCAACTCCTCCAGCCCAGGGACAGCTGTGACAAGAGCAGGATCCCCAAGCCACAGCAGGTTTGTGGCAGGGTGGTAGCCCGAGCCTCAGCAGTCCTCACCTGACTGTGCAGAGATGCTCCTGCCTCCTGCAGCACTGCTGGATGGCAGCCAGACACCCAGCACAACCTTCCCGTGGGATCACAGTGAGCTCAGCTGGTGGAACAGGATGCACCGAGGGGCTCCCGCAGCCCCTCTGAGGCCACAGTGGTCAGACACCATCGGGAATGCACTGGAGATGACTCGGGGGCAGAAGGCAGCACCTGGCTCGCTTCAGGGATGTCCGGAACAAAACACAATGGAAAGCTGCACTTCACTCACCTGGCTATAATTCCAGAGCCCAGGGACCTGCTGGGGAACCTGCGCTGTAACCTGTACCTTCAGTGCTGACCACTAAGATGAGCATGTTTTCTCCCCTGCAGGTGTGTATGTGCCACCAGTGGCATAGGAAGCGAGTGGGGAGACCTCAGCCCCCCCCAGCTCCTGCCTGGGACTCCTCCGGGCACAGATCTTTCCCCAGAGTCTGTGGAGCGGTGGCCTCGTGTAGGAAGGGAGCGACCTGCTCCGGGTGGGAGCGGCTGGAGATGAGCAGAGAGGAGCAGAAGGGAGCGGGGCAAGGAAGGGAAGCCGGCAGCCGGGGGCTGCCCCTCACTCGGGTGCCTCTTCATTCTCTGCCAGCAGCCGCTGGATCACCGAAGAGCGGCATGAAAGCGTTTCCCGTTCGTGTGGAACGAGGCCCGCAGCTCCCGCACTGTACGCGTTCCCCAGCACGGTGGCGGGGCTGTCACTTGTCACACACACTCTCTGCGCACAACAGCAAAACTTTCCCAGCAGCGGCGCGGCCGCTAAAGGCAGGGAAAAGACGGCAAAAGAGCGGAGAGCAAAGCAAAGAGAAGGCGAGGGCGCTCGGAGGGGAGGCTGCCGGGCCGGGCTGCCCTCCCCGCCCGCCGCCCATTGTCCCCGGGCCGGTGCCGGTCCCCGCGCACTCACCCGCGCCCTCGGCGGTGACGATGGCCTCGGGGGAGATGCAGACCCCGCGGTCGTAGACCGGCAGCTCGTCGCAGGCCAGGCTGTCGGGCCAGGCGTGGCCGTAGCGGAGCAGGACGGGCTCGCAGCCGGCGCGGGCGCGCTCGCAGACGGACTTGCAGGGCTTGATGGGCTCGTGCTGGAAGTCGATGGTGCAGATGGGCGCGTACATGGCGCAGAGGAAGAAGAGGAGGTCGGGGCTGCAGTTGGTCCCCAGCAGCCCCTCGAACTGCTCCATGGCCAGCACGGCGTTGGCCTGCGTGCTGTGGTGCAGGTGGTTCGGCATCTTGGTCACGTTCCAGGGCAGCGGCTTGCAGAGCGGGATGCGCACCGGCTCGCAGGCCGCTCCCCGCCCCGCCGGCGCCCGCCCCAGCAGCAGCAGCCCGGCCAGGGCCAGCGCCGGCCACGCTCGCCACATGCCGCGGGCCCCGAGGTGAGCGAGGGCCCGAGCGGGCAGAGCGCGGCTCGGGGCGGCTCCGCCCGGGCTGGCTCGGCCCCTCCGCGCTGCCCCCGCCGGGCCGCACCGGGTCCCGCCCCGCCGCCCGGCCCCGAACAAAGGAGAGCCCCGAGCGGGGGAGAGGCGGGGGAGCGCTCGCTGCCAGGGAGAAACTCGCCTCGTCCTCGCCGGAAGGCGAGCGAGCGCTTAAACTCTTCCCCAAGTGAGAACCTTGCTTGCTTTTTCAGGTTTCGGTCCCAGTCTCTGGGCGATATACTCATATCTTCTTAGGAAATACCTATTTTTATTTATTTATTTTGCACACACTATGCTGATTGCAAGTGCTTAATAAGCAGGAGGTGCGCACCTCCGTGTCAGCTAGGCATAGCGATGGGTGAGCAATTTTAGAGGACAGCAATAATATTGAGAAGATTAAAAACGAGGGAGATTCTGCTGAGCAGCTGGGGACGCTTTCTTTTCAGAAGGTTAAAAAAAAATTAATTGAAGAGGCCAGGTAATGTTTAAGATACCTTGCAAAACGGTGGTGCAATAAAGGGGAGGTTCGACTTGATCTGGGAAAAGGTGGCTTCAGATAATCATAGAATCACAGAACATTCTGAGTTGGAAAGGACCTTAAAGATCATCTAGTTCCAACCCCGTGGCATGGACAGGGACACCTTCCACTAGACCAGGTTGCACAGAGAAAACAAGCTGACATTTATTAGCTGAATAAATTATTTCCAGTTATAAACATAACGAGCTACTGCTTGATCAGGCATTTGTTATTCCAGTTTCTGCCCCTAAATCAAAACTGTGAGTAGAAACATGTCTGCCACAAGCCAATGCTCAGAAGCCAGACAAAAAAATGTGAACCACAAATACAGACTCACAAACACAGGGTCTGAAGCCTAGAAAGGCTCTTCTGCAGATTTTAATTTTAATTTTATGACTGAAGATGAGACCTTGATCCCCTTAACTCAGCTGGTAATGTCCTGGCTCCAGCAAAGGCACATGCCAAGCAAACAACAAGTTGTAATACAGCCAGTGGAACAGAGGTACCTTTTATTTACCCACCTCCACAGATGCTAATTTCAAGGACCAAAACCTTGTTCCTTACACTCCTGGAAGGAAATTTGGGCCTCAAAGAGAGGCAGAAATATTCATACACGTACAGTGTTCATGTGGAAGTCTTAGGAGCCATCAGTCAGGCTGCCCATGACCCTGTGAGTCTGGATTGCAAAATATCCATGAAGGCAAGCAAAGGGAAGCTTGCTCATCTGCAGGGGGAATTAGAGAGAGGAGTGTTTTTACTCATCTTCTTAGCTCTTCAAATTTAGTCACAGCAGAGCCTCAGGCTTGAGTTTTCCCTAGCAGTGTAAAAGAATACATGTTTAAAAAGCATGTGGTGTATGAAAAGCCTTACCCAGCTGGTTGGGAAATGAATATATTGGGGGCCTTGTCTGACAGCAGTGAGTGTGAGCAGTGCATCCCTGAGAATGAGTCCAGAAAAATGGGCCAGAGCAATGCAAATTACCCATTGACATAAATGAACATACTTTTCTACTTCAATATGAAATGATCCCATCTCTGTATTTTATTTCTGGGATTTTTTTTTCAGATTGAAAATTGAAAATTACACAAAACAGTTTTAAAAATATTTCCTGTGTTTTGGGGGAAAGACCATTGATAATAATGAATATTCCCATGCCTGCAAGAAGGCTATCAAGTCCGTAAATTTATTTTTTTAGCCCCAAGTCTACATGATCTACACGAGAGGACCTTGTACTTCTTTATTTAAACAGTAAAATTACTGAAAATTCGTTCAGAACAGCAAATGCTGGCATCTCCATGAGATCACCAACACACTAAAACACCTTCCTATGCAATGTGGCTTCACATTTCCTGTGTTGGTGTGAAGATACACGCCGTGCCATCAGCAGCAGAGCACTGCTCACTGCCCTGCTCTGCTGGCAGGCTCCTGGGAGAGGATCAGCTGCCAGCAGGATTGGGGGCTGCTGGCCCACAGGGCTGTCTGCATCCATTACCTCTTAATGCTTCCACTATAAATCAACTTATACGAGGTGGTAAAAATTCACCTCTGGCTGGAACTAGGAAATCTGATTACTGACCTGAAACACTGCTATTTTAACCAAACATTTACACCCCCCTGAGTCTGCCAAGTTATTTTCTGTTATACAGAAAGTATGGTCAGTCTTGACACCTTTTTAAACAGATGAGGAGTCTGGTAAAGCAGAAAAAGAGAGAGTGAAGAGGAGGGCTCTGGTTTCGTGCTATCAAAATGCAGCTACAGTGCTCTGCTCTGCAGGTAGAGTTACACTAGCAGGAAAATAAAATGGCTAAAGAGCAAAGCACCAACCTACGCTCTGTCTTCACGTGCACCAGTACTGCTAATTGGAGCTATAATAGGTGTACCTACTGAAGATGGTGATTTTGTATGTTAGCTGAGAAAGCATGTGCTGTGGTATCTGACATTTTCCACCAGTCTCAAAAAACAAAGTAGCTTTTGCTCGGGGTGCGACCACAGTGCTGTCAGGAATTTCACCTTCTCTCCCACCATCTTCGTCAGATTTATGAAGAAAAAAATCTCTTCCTACAGCTTCCATCTACATAGAAGGGGCAGTGCTAAAACTCTGGGGCTGGGTTGTGACAACAGTCAAATTCCTTACCTTGAACAACTCCAGAAAGGCTTAGTCAAATTATGATATCATCATTCTATCAGCTTGATGTCATGCATGACCAGCAAGAATTTCTTAATAAAAGTATGCCCAGGCAGCAGTCTGAGATCAGCACTGCATGCCTTTGAGTTTCATGGTAGGCTTTGGGGGGTTGGTACTAACCTATAAACTTAGAGAATAATAATACAGCCCATAGTATCACACAAAGTCATTTCCTAGAATAAACAAGAACTCAGTGGGGTTGAGGCCTAAGGCAGGGATTTGCCTCTAGAGTAGCTCATACAAAAATTACAGAAAAAGGTGTTGGTACTATTATTATTATTATTATTATTATTCCCCACAAGAATCACCCTAGCCTACAACAGTGCATAGTGCCTGGACTGCAACTTATTCATCCATAACCCCATTTAAAAAACCCAGTTTGGTTGCCTTGGAGTGCCATGAGGATGGATTTCAGCAGGAGGATCACAGCTCACAGCTCTGGGGATGGCCAACCAATTTTATTTGGGGATACAGAAACAGAGCAGAAGGAGGAAGGCTGCAGAGAGGATTGGAAAAGGGATTGTGGGCTTTGTTGCACCTTTCCCCAAAAGGAAGCTAAAAAAGGAACTGCTTCCAGGCGCCCGGAATTAATTTATTTCTTTGTTATTTTTTCCTTTACATAGTAACATTTCTCTCTCCCCCTTGTTTTTCTCTTGAGGCAGATAAACTGCAACAGGCTTAAGAAGCAGGAGCTGGGTTTCTGAGATGCTTTGATGTTCAGCTCCACTGTTAGAACTGTCTGTTAGGAAAACTTCATGGCTTGAAACACAAAAATACATCTATTTCAAATTTAAGCTGGAACAACTACATTACTGAACAGAAATGTAGAAATATGGCCTCATTAAAAATAAAAACTGAAATCTGAAGTTTTCTTTGCAATAGTAAGAAACACATAAAGGTTTGGTCAAGATTAACATGTTGCAGTAAAGGCAGTCCCAGGTGTATTTGTTGGTATCAGTTTTATCCCAGTCCCAGGTGTATTTGTTAGCATCAGTGTTATACCCCAAAGTGTTATAATCTCCCTTTAGAGATAAGAAACATCCCCATATACACACCCCAGCATCTTACCTCTATAAGCAAAGGGTGCTTATAGGCCAGAGGAGGCACAGGGAGGATGAAGGACCAGCTCCCACCTTCTCTGGCTTGGGACAGAGTTCAGTAGATCAACTAATCTGTATTTACATTTCTAAGAGGTACTAAATACATGCTGTGGATGCATTTAATTCCATAGTCTACAAATGGTTGAGAAATGAGTATGTGTCCCAAACAAACTAGATGTGACAGGACAAAAGGGAATGACTTCAAGCTGAAGGAGAGCAGGTTTAGGCTGGTATTGGAAGAAATTCTTGGCTGTGAGGATGGTGAGGCCCTGGCACAGGCTGCCCAGAGAAGCTGTGGCTGCCCCATCCCTGGAAGTGTGCAGGGCCATGTTGGAAGGGGCTTGGAGCAATCTGGAATAGTAGGAGCTGTCCCTGCCCATGGCAGGGGTGTGGGGAGGAATGAGATTATATTTAAGGTCCCTTCCAACCCGAGCCACTGTATGGTTCTATGAATTTCGGAAAGGGAAAATCAGAGATCAGGAAAAAAAAGCAGAACAAGGGTGTTATTTTTCCTGGTCTAACAGCTGCCCTGAAGATGCAGTGGCCTGTGTGCAGCCACATTTGTATTTTGGATAACACAAACTTCGTTAGCAGTGGAGGGAACAGCCTGCGTTAGGCTGCAAGCTCTAGGTGACATTATAAGAAATCATCTCTTCACTTTCATTTTGCATGTTCTGCCAGAGCCTTCCCATCAGTGACCTTTAGCAGTGTTCAGAGAAGACACGAGCTCAGTCTGTGCTTGGGGGGCTCCCCATCATCACTGCTTCAGGCTGCCCAAGGACCCAGTGGGCTGCTGTTTATAAACCAAAACTGCTCTTTATGGTCTAGTCCTGCCCATTCCAACTGAATAAAAGGTGCAGAAGTGACTGTATCTATTCAGGATGTTCCCAAGGATAAAACTAGCTGAGAAAATACTTCTTTAGAACAGGTTTTTGTTGTCCTGAATCTTTCTTTGGCAATCTCAGGATTACATGTGATTTAATTTACTTATATACACTGCCTTAGAAAAACAAACACAAAACCACAAACCAAAAACAACCACACAACTAACTGAAAACTAAACCCTAAAATACTTCTGACATGCCTGTTACTAAAACCATAAAATCACTGACTTACAGAGTCATAAAAATGGGATTTATTGTATATTTCCTGTTTCAG